AGGAAATTTAACGTCAGATAGTTACGAAATGGTGATTAGAAATGAAATTGTACCTACATTGAAAAACTTGTTTGGGGCCTCATGAAAACTCCAGCTCATTTTGGTGTAAATGTTCAGCGTTATTTAGATAAGATATTTCCCGGACGATGTATTGGTAGACGAGGTAGAATTGAATGGCCTCCACGTTCACCTGATTTAAATTCTAAAGATTAGTTTTATTGGAAATACATTGAAAAATTCAGTTTACAAAACTAAACCAGCAAGTTTTGCAGAGCTAAGGCAACGAATTATCTATGAATATCGAATAATTACTAGACAATCATCGAGAAATGTGGTAGACGAATTTTACCACCAATTAGGGTACTGTAACTCACAAATGGAGCACATTTTGAACACTTGATAAAGTAACCATTATGTTAAAAAATGTTGTAATCGATCAATTGTTACGTTTTAATGTAGTTAAAAATATAGTTAGCATTAAAACATATTTATTGAGACAATTAGGCGTTGTCAGACTTCTGTTTTATGTATATAAGACCTTCCAGACTACATAAAATCATAAGTGTAACATATGGCTGAACTCGCATTGAATATGAGATTTCAATAATGCCTGAATATACAGGGTGATGTATTTAAAAAACCAAAGTTACTAATAATATAAGAGAAACGGTAAATCTGGCGACATTGCAAATATCAAGTATGGAATCTTCGTATCCCAAAATAGATGTATCTCAAATTTTGTACAATTAGGACCAGCAATTTACGGGATAATTGGGCGTTTCCAGATTTTGGGTCACTCTGTATGATACACTAAACAACGAGCTTTTCATCGTGACTTACAGCGTTTAAAGCATGACCTTTAGAACCCTACTAGACGTTTTTAGGTCTATTAGTATGTAGGTTGGTCACAGGCCAAAGCAAAGTACATTAAAAAATTATTTGTTGTTGTGATTGTATGTTGAGAGTTCGTCTTTGTTTTGACTATACGCAATACATGTTAAAAATTTTATATCTGTTCATGTTCAAAATTCCGTTCAAAAATTTAGTTCATGTGAGAAGTTGATAACATTTGTGCATGTAAAAAAGGAGGATTAGATATACCCATTTTTTGTTATAGATTGACAGTCCAAGAAATTGCAGATCTCAATGAGTCAGAACAATTTTTTTGAGAATTTTGACAATGAAACAGTTGATCAGGTTTATATAGAACCCGCGAAAAACCGAGAAGAGTCAGACGAAGATTCCGTAGATAAATCTGGTGATGGACTAAACAATTTATCAGGCAAGAGATAATTAGACACAATTTAAAAGAGATAGTTGTGAGGCCACAGGGATAGCTAGAGAAAAGAGACTAATAAAAATTGTCCACTCCGGGCAGTAAGAAAGTTAAAAAAGACACCTAGAGGTATTTATGACTCTGCCGTAATTGTATTGAAAAATACAATGTATTTATGGTGAAATGCAAATGTAACAATTAAACACTGAAAACTTTGTTTTCAAACTTCCACAAAATTTATTTTAAATATTATCACTACAGCTGTTTCGGCTGATTGCCTTTCTCAAGTGATCTATTTTGGCTTGGGTTTACAAATTTATAGTCTCTAATGAAATAGGTTGAGGAGGGAGAACTGTTTGTCTCAAGTTGGTCATTCAGAATTATATCTGTGTTTTTTAATTTGTTGATTTCCATAGATTCTAACAAAGATAGCTTAAGGCCTTTATTTTGAATGTGAAGAATTTTAAATTTGCCATTAAAAGAATGATTATGATCTAGAAGGTGAAGTGCGTATGTCGAATCTGTTTTTCTATTCTTGAAAGCCCTTTTATGTTCTGCTATTCGTTTATCAAAGTTTCTACCAGTTTGACCGTTATAAGTTTTTGGGCAGTCGCCATATTGAAGTTTGTACACACCACTATTTAAGTGTTTTTTATTTTGGCTCTTGTTATTTTTAATATATTTGCCTAGGTTGTTATTTGTTCGGAAAGCTGGTGTAACAAATAACAACCTAGGCAAATATATTAAAAATAACAAGAGCCAAAATAAAAAACACTTAAATAGTGGTGTGTACAAACGAATAAAAGAGCTTTCAAGAATAGAAAAACAGATTCGACATACGCACTTCACCTTCTAGATCATAATCATTCTTTTAATGACAAATTTAAAATTCCTCACATTCAAAATAAAGGCCTTAAGCTATCTTCGTTAGAATCTATGGAAATCAACAAATTAAAAAACACAGATATAATTCCGAATGACCAACTTGAGACAAACAGTTCTCCCCTCCTCAACCTATTTCATTAGAGACTATAAATTTGTAAACCCAAGCCAAATAGATCACTTGAGAAAGGCAATCACCGAAACAGCTGTAGTGATAATATTTAAAATAAATTTTGTGAAGTTTGAAAACAAAGTTTTTCAGTGTTTTATTGTTACATAAAATGAATTTCCATCAAGTAACGGTTGAATCCATTAATTATTGAAATGCAAATGTTTATACAGTTGGAATAGAGGCAAGAAATGGTGGTGGCCCTATTTACTTGGCTATTAGATACATCAATCCAAAATTTGTTATTAATATATAGAAAACATTATCCAAGTACACCCCAATTAAATTTTCGATAGGACATAGCACAAGAAGTGTATTTAAAAAGGTTTCAAAACCTACCAAGCTGACCATCCAGTAGAAGTTCTCCAAGCTATACAGAAATTGAAAGAAAACAAAGCTCCTGGGACAGATGGCATTCCTTTAGAACTTTTAAAGCATAGCAAAAAACCTGACATACTGTATATGTAGACTGGTAGAACTGATCTGAAAGCAAATAAAGTTGCCAGAAGACTGGAATGTAGGTATAATTGTACCTATCCACAAGAAAGGTGATCAAACAATATGTGACAACTACAGAGGAATATCCTTCCTAAACGTAACATACAAAATATTGATAGTGTGAAGACATAATAGGTAAATATCAATGTGGGTTTCGTAAAGAAAGATCAACAACTGATAAATTTTTCTTCTCAGGCAAGCTCTGGAAAAAAACATATGAGTATGGCATTGATACTCATCCCCGGTTTGTTGATTTTTGATATGCCTATGATAGTGTTGAACAAAATGCACTGTACAAGGCCATGATAGAATTCAGCATCCCAGTATACTTAGTAAAATTGGCGAAAGCGACCCTCTCGAGAGTCGAGTGTAAAGTTAGAGTGCAGAACGGAGTTTCCAGAACGCTCCAGTCTCAGATAGGACTTAGACAAGGAGATAGCTTATCATGCCTCCTATTCAATATTGCACTAGAAGAAGCGATATGAGAATCTGAAATAACACCAGAGGAACTGTTATTAATCGCAGCGTACCATCACTAGCAGACGCCGATGACATCGACATTATTGCAAGAAGCAAGGCGGACGTGATCGAATCATTCAAGGCGCTTGAAGCAGCAACATAAAGAATGGGACTGGAGGTTATTACTAGTAAGACGAAGTATATGAAAGCATCAAATTATATACAAGTAGCATAATCCAAGATCTAACGATCGGAACATATACTTTCGAAGGAGTAAGAGAGTTTATATACCTAGGCTTACAAATTAATCAGAATAATACAATAAGTGTAAAAATTAACAGATGGATATATCTAGCAAATCGAGCCTCTTATGGATTTAGAAAATTTTTAACAACAAGCCTAGTTACAAAAAGTACGAAACTAGTGATATACAAAACTCTTATCAAGCCCATCCTCACCTACACGTCGAAAACATGGACGATGACAAAGAGCGATGAAGAACGTTTAAGATGCTTTGAACGTAAAATCCTCCGGCATATCTATGGAGTTCAGTATAGCGGATTATGGCGTAGACGCTATAATTTCGAACTTTACCGCCTGTATCACAAACCTAATATTATTAAGGTCCATAAAAATAAACCAGCTGCGGTGGTTAGGTCACATAGAGAGAATGAATGAGATGGAGCCGCCAAAACATATTTATAACCAAAGAATATATGGAGTGAGAAGACAAGGCAGATCCAGAGCACGATTTAATGATCAGGTAGAGGGAGACTTGAGAAGGTTGAGAGTACGAAACTGGAAAGTCAAGGTGAAGAATAGGAGAGAATGGAGACTTATCCTTGAGCAGGCCAAGACCCACCATGGGTTGTGGAACCAATGATGATGATGATATAGAAAACATTGCCCAAGTATACCCCAATTAAATTTTCGAGGAGACATAGCGAAGTGTATTTAAAAAGGTGTCAAAATCTACCAAGAGCTGCTGGACAATCACCCACATATTCACCTAAAAGCAGGATTGGTGTCGATATTAGGTACGATGACAGATATTACTATGTTGAATAAGTTTCGAGCACGTTGTGCTGGCAGTCAAAATTGTAATTTGTAAATTGTAAAATTAACAATAAAAATACTTTTCAAATATTTGTTGACTTTAGTAGTATAGGAGACTACTGTGTCACATGACACATGGTGTAATATTGTTTTTACTAGACGGGTAATTAAAATATTAGTTATGTACAATATTTAGACACCCTTATTATGGAAAAAACTATTGCAAATTCCGCAATTTTAAACTTCAGTACTTAATGAGTTAAAAGGGATAATGGTAAATTCTTCGTTCGAGGGGTCCACGACGGAGATCGATAATAGATTCTATTTATTTAAAATCTATCTAATTGGATCTCCTGTCTCATGGTGACATGCGATTTTTTATAACAGTTCACCTATCTCCGATATAATTTTAAAACGTTTGTTTAACTAAAATTGCTGGAAATAATTCTTTTTCGTTTAAACTACCCACACGAAAATGTTTTAGGAGTAACTATAAACACAAAATGGTTAACTGTAAAGCATTTTACTATCCATTTGCTTGTGAATTTAAGAACCCACGCATGAAATACAAGACAAATAACGTTATTACCAAATATTAAAATACAGTATGATTTTTTCTTGAAATTTCTCAATACACAATCAGTACTATTTAATCACTACATGGTAGAGACAAACAAAGGTACTGAATCTAGATAAATATTAGAAAAGGTAACGCAAATAGAGATCTTTCAGACAAGTCTAGTTTGCCGTGTCAGATATAGGTAGTAAATACGTCGTGTTGGTCGTGAGTTGTATTGTATATATCGACCCACTGTTAAGGGTAATTTTAAAAACAAAAAAAAGTAAGCTAATATTTTTGAAATGCGGTAAAAACACATCGACATTGTCAGTTCTGTTTTATTATATATTTAGATGGCTTTATATGTAATATACAGGCTGTCCAGAAACTCTCCTGACTGACGAAAAACGAAGATACCTCAGATTTAAGATAATTTAACCTAATTAATCTAGTCCGAAAATGCTTCCTACGAGAAGATAGAGCTTTTTGAAGATGGCGCCTTGTAGTTTTTTTTTCTAATACTTTCAGAACGCTTCTATTTATAAAAACCACAACTGGTGCGAATATTTATTCTCCAGAGTCAAATCAATTCCATTACGTTATACACTTGGGAATGCACACTCCATAGTTAAGATATTAGCATAGATAGGCTTAGTTTTATAAAACAAAAATCGCTGACTGTCTAATTAATGTCATGTCATCTTCAAGATAAACAAGAACACCCGCTACATCACAAAATTTACATAACACAAATAAGAATGTATAAAAGGCCCGTCAGGCACTCTATACCAGCCAGCAGGCATAGGCCCTTCAGGCAGATCAAATATTGATCAAACGCGGACTCTGAGCATCGAGGTCATGTGCGGCAAGTATGGGCTCGGTGGCCAGGACTCACTTCTCGAACACCAGCCGGCGAGGAGAACAAAATTTTTATTTTGTCAAATCGGCGACTGAGTGAACGAGCACACACATTCTTTTCCAGACAGAGAGCTGTCGGTCTAGACCGATGGCTCTCTGTCTGAAACACACGCTTTTTTTTAGGGACATGAGTCCCGAAGTAAAGCTAGAGTAACTTCTATAGAGTCAGTAAAGTTAAATAGGAGAAAAGCCGACATGTGTGCTACCCCTACAGTTAGGTGGCCTAACCACAGTCATTAAAAACAGAAGGTGTCTCATTACCCAAGACACCTTACGTAACATTCAGATCATAAGCCTCCTCACGTAAGTCGCTGAGGAGGGGTGGAGGAAAAGCCTGTGGGTCAGATAGGTACCACCTCAACTAGTGAAGTGTGACCGGTTTGATTTTCGGACGTGTGGATCCCACTCTTACGGTGGTATACACATGTCCCTAGGGGTAGGGTTGATCGCCTCGCGTAATTGTGTGTGCAATTCCATTACACGAACTCCCCAACTACTAAATTAGAAAAAGATATATACCGTAAATTTAAAAGAAAGCTATAGTATAATCATAAACATCATTAACATTTATGTTAACTCTTTATCGGTACATGTAACCATACGGTAACATTGTATATTATAACCTTTATGGGGCACCACTTTAAAATGGTTTTTAAAAATAAGTTATTTATATTAGCAGTTTCTAAATGTTACAATTAAATATTGATTTTTATATATCTGAAACATTATCCTGGAACACATTCCAGACTCCAACCATACGGTAACAAGGTCTGCAAAATAAACTTTAAAATTACTAAACTTTTTATTATTAAATCTATAAAGTGACAAGAAAACAAAGCAGTTTACATTTTTTTGTTTTAATGAAAACTCAGTGAAACAGAACCTTGCATCACATATTTCACACTTTAGACACTCGTTCTCTTAATGCAATACTTACCTCTTTCTTTTGTAGTATGTATTGGCCAATGTATATAAGAATCCAATCTTGCTAAATCGTTTGGCCGTCTAACTATTGGACATCTTATTTTTGGAAAACCACTCTCGCACAAACTTGGTCTTCCTCTTCTGAAACCATTTCCAACTTGACATAATGCCTTTGCAATGTCCAATTTAAATTTCTTCAGAGCCATGAACTTTATGTTCAAAGCTTTATAGTGTATTATGTACAACAATCAAGCATGCGTCACACATATGTCAAGAATATAGGCAGAAATTGCAAAGTACCATCTTTTAGCTTTGTGTGGAGATTTGTAAAAAACCCATTATTTCATTAAAACTGTTTCGATATGTGTGTTACTGGTCCAATAATCTTTATAGAAAGGAAGATCTGCTATACCAATCATCAAAAAAATTGACAAAAATTTTGTAATAGTAAAATCAGTCAAAGTAAAATAAACACAGGAAACGATTTTTAAAAATGGCCATCAATGTATAGAATTCGCAGATGATCTAACACTATTAACAATAAGTAAGAAAGAACTAATAAAATTAATGAGCAATATAATAAAAGAAAAAAACGTTTTTGGTCTTGTCATAAATAAGGAAAAGAAAAAATACATAATAATGGGAGAAACAGATAAAGAAAAAGAAGACAATTTCACATTGGAGGTAGAAGGAGAAAATTCATGCGCGTTTAAAAAAATTTCAGAATATACTTACGTGGGTGTAAAAGTAGATGAAAAGGGACACGGAGAAGAGGAGATAAAAGCAAGAATAGCAAATGCAAACAAAAAGTGTGAATCAAAGTATGAATGAAATCCAAATATGTTAAAAAAAACAAAAATAAGAATCTACAAAACAGTTACCAGACCTACAGCTACAAATGCCCAGTGAAACATGGGTGCTTAAAAAATCAGAAATAGACCTTTTAGAAAGATGGGAGAGGAAAATACAGCGAGCAATATATGGAGGCGTGAAAATAGATGGACAATAGAGAAGAAGAAATAATAAGGAACAAGACGAACTATATAATGAATCAAAAATAACGACGGCAATAAAAGCACAGAGAATCCGATACTTACGACACATCGAAAACATGGGAAAACGAGAATGCCAAAAATAGTTCTATTACGTAAACCAATACAAAAAAGAAGAATAGGAAGACCAAAAAGGAGATGGAAGGACAGCGTATATAAAGACTAAAAAAAGTATTATTGTAAACTGGAAAGAAAAAGCTTTGGACAGAAAACAAAGAAGCTTTTATAACAAATTCAGCTATCAGAAACTGGAGGAAGAGGTGATATTTTATCCTTTAATTTTCCATAGAAACTACATGAAGTAATCTCAATGAATCCATCCATAACAACAAAAAGCTGAAAATGAAAATCTTTTGATAATTGTTGATAATTGATAATTGTTACCATATGGTTACCAATATTTTTGGATAAAGTTATATTGTCAATATTACGTTATGTATAATACAAATTATCAAATATAAGTTCAAGAAACGTTGAATTCGTTTTGCATATAAATATATTTTTACCTACCAATCAAATTCTTATTAGTATGCACGTACCGTACACAGCTAACCTAACAACTGACAAAAGAACGCGCAAAATCTACAAACGTGTGAAAAATGGCTGACAACATTAACCATTGGTTGACGATTTCCCACCGCAAATAACCGATACCATATGCGTACACTGAACAGCAAACCTTGAAAAGCATCCATCTATCTATCTATTGCCCAAAATCTATTCATGTGTTGAATATAGGCTTCTCTTATTTGTTTCCATTTGTCTCTGTCCTCTATTTGTCTTTTCCACATTAGACCTGCGCTTTGCTCAATGTCATTTTTTCATCTCATTTGCGGTCGACCTCTTGACCTTTTTGCAGTATATGGTCTCCAGCGGCCAATTTCTTTATTCCATCTTCCATCCTGATATCTTTCGTTATGCCCAGCCCATTTCCATTTTAATTTCAATGCATGTTCGACAGCGTCTGTTGTTTCGGTTTTGCATCTTATCTACTCGCTCCTCTTTTTATCTCTTTCAACGATATTCCCAACATTTGTCTTTCCATAGCTCTTTGAGTTTTCTTTATTCTATCTAAGTTGCTCTTGGTACACGTCCACGTCTGGGCACCATATGTCAGAACAGGTAGGACGCATGCATTAAATACCTTCGTTCTTAATTTTAAAGGTATTTTTTGGTTGTTAATAGTATATGAGAGTTTTCCGAATGCAGCCTACCCCATTCTTATATTTCTGGTTATTTCTTTAGTCTGGTTACTTTTGTCTGCTCTGATAGCTTGTCCTTGAAAAGCATAGTTTGAGTAATATATATATTTAAACTTAACGTAACTGTATGGTTGCATTATCCAGTAAATGTTTCCATTTACTGGATAATGCAACTGTTATCCAGAAATGTCTTTAAATATGCCCGATAAAGGATAAATGTGTAATTTAATAATAATCTTTCTTGTTTCAGCATCCAAAAGGCCCAGAATCAACGTCGAAGAATGTCAGTTAGAAGAATCAGACTCAGATCAAGAAGAAATAAAAAGAAGTCAGCACTCGTCCCCAATAAATCCCCAACCGACTCTTTTAGCCCCTACGCCATCTCCAGATCCAGTCACAAGTCCCGATCCAGATCTAGACGTCGAAGAAGATACGCAATCAGAAGCTCCGAAAACCTTTCAGTAAAAAGGGAAAAACCGCCGAGTCCCGAAACCCACCCCACCAACAGGCGTCAAATTTTATGCCGTACCAACATCCGTTTGGGCAGTTTCCGCCTCAATATCAGCCTGCCTATCCGCAGAGAAGCCCTATTGATGTATTGATGAGGGTGTTTCCGGGCAGGCGAAGATCGGACGTCGAGGCACTTTTACAAAGGTATGGCATATATTTTTTTGTTGATATCATGTATTAATAATTTAAGTATAATAATTTCAATAAATCAGAGTTTGTCAGATGTCATCAAAATTTCATTTATCAATAAAATACTAAAAAGTCTGTTTTCAAAAATTCCATAAAATTTATTATAAATTCTGAACGCTACAGCTGTTTTGGCAGAGTGCCTTTCTCAAGCGATCTACTTTTGTATGTGTTTACACTTTATCGCATTTAACGAAGTAGGTTAAGAAGGGGAGAACTGTTTATCTCAAGTTGGTCATTCAGAATTATGTCTGTGTTTTTTAATTTGTTAATTTCCATAGATTCTAATAAAGATAGCTTAGGGCCTTTATTTTGGATGTGAAGATTTGAAATTTATCGTTAAAAGAATGATTATGATCTAGAAGATAAAGTGTGTATGTAGTATATGATTTTCTATTATTAAAAGCCCTTTTATGTTCTGCTATACGTTTGTTAAAAGTTCTACCAGTTTGACCGATATAAGTTTTTGGACATTCACCACATTTAAGTTTGTACACACCACTGTGTATG